TTCATCTGTGAAATGCCAGACATGTTGTAATAGTATTTTATTACCTCGAAACCTGGGATAAAAGCTACCATGTGCAGTACTTTATTGTAAAATATGTATAGTGGGAATTTTTTACATCATATTGGACTTTTTTCCACTGAAGTCCAGGATAAAAGTTATTTTGGTCTCAGTAGGAGTCAGGGTCTGTAGGGTCTGGACCAAATGTAATTATTTTATGCTTACAGTAAATGTGATTAAGATCTTTTAATGATGCAGGCATTGTTACATTCTCTAACTAGATCTGTTGTGCTCTCAGAGCAGTTGTGCTCTGCAAGGGTAGTGGCCATTGCAACTTATTGCTGGAAACTGGGAGGCAAGTTTGGGGGAAAATTCTATTGTGTAGATAAAAGTAACCTGAACTGATAACTCCTGCAGCTCTTTGTAAGACTGGAAAACGATAACTTGGAGTGGTTTGAGTCAAATCTGCCCTATTCAAGAAAAGGAATACAGGAAGAGTTTCTTCTTACTGTAGATGTTCAGCACAATTCTAATTCTGAAGAGAATCACTCTCTAGGACAGTGTCCCACTGATGATTCTGCTTCTGGGACTCAATCTGCACTTAAGATTTTTCTGGCATAGTAACAAGACTGTGAAAATTTGGCATAAACTTGACATAAACCCCACCTCTAGTTAGGTAATGCCAGGTTTTCCTGTAGGAGAGTCATGTTACAGCTCAAGCTCATTTGTGAATGGAAACAATTTGGAGTGCTAATGATAGAGAAATCTGTTGGATTTGTAGAAAGTACTTTTCTGCTTTGGATGTCTGTAGTGTAATCAAGCCAGTTTAGTTATCCACTCATTTTTAGTGCAAAATTCCCTTTGCACTTGCTGCAGAAGGAACAGGGGTTAAAGGAATTTAAGATCATAACATTTGCTGGGAATTACCAGATTTTCTCTTGGAGTCTTCATGTCATTCAGCTCTACCTGGCTGAGGGGGTCCCTAGGAGCTCTGGCAGTGCTGTCTGTAGCTTCTGCCTTAGAGCTGTGTCTGAAGTAAAGGATTTGTGGTCAGAGCACAAATGATGCATTTCCAGGTGCCAAAATATTCACTGGGATATTAATAGCTGCCATAATTGGAAGGAACTGTGATGCAGATCAGAAGAAAGCTGCACATCTGCCTGCAAGGATGAGATATCTGCAGGTCATCTTCTGCTTTTTCAAGTGTTACACCACAAGATTAGCTGCATTTGGTCAAACCAAACAATTAATGCACTTAATAAAAACCTTATCTTTGTGTATCTGTTTTACAACCAGTAGGAGATGTTGATGGAAGAAGAAGCTTATTTTTGCTACTGAATTGGTTTCTTTTTTACTTGCAGGTATCCGTGCTAGAAAAAAAGGAAGGAATTTCTGTAGTTGAAGATGTGGACTGACTTTCTGTCATGTTTAACTGGTAATTATTTTGCCAAACAGAATGTTCAAAACTGGAAGATACTGTGATAACGAGCAGGGATGACCTGCTTAACAGTTCTTGAGCTGACCTTTGTAATCAATTTTTTAATTGACTCCCTGTTGTACTCCCAATATACTTAAATGTAGTTTGGCTAAGAGATCATTTATTAAGGATTTTCTTCAACTTCTTGAGTTAATTGTCTTTAATTTAAAAACTCACCTTACTTTGCAATGAACTTGTAATTTTGTCATGCTAATTGACACAGTTCTTATTGTACATGTTTTTTTTAATTTACCTGGCACTGGCTTTGTAGACTGGTCCAGTGTTTTGAGTGACCACAAAGTCAAACTCAGCAAGATGTTGGAAGCATGTCTTGAAGCAGATGGGTAATGTTCATATTAATGGGGTCGAATTTAGAGTTCAGCTTCTTGTTTTGTTTGAATATTGCAGAATGAAGTATAAAACCAGCGTCCTCTGAGCTCAATTAGAGTGTTATCCACATCCCACCTACAGTTTGCAAAAACTTAATTTTTAACTTAATGTCTTCAAACTGATCTTTTAAATATGTTCAGTGCTGTGCAGCAATAAAAAAGGGTGGGCTTGTTCCTCTGTCTGAGGCCCTTTTCTGCCTTTTCATTTAATGTTTAGCTCTTCCCATTTCTTTTTTAAACTTTGATTTCAAAGGGGCACTTCTAATAGGGAAAACTAGGAGTGCATTTCTGGAGTTCTGGGCAAACAATATTCTTAACTGCAACAACAGGAGAGCTCAGGCCCAGTGAGACTTCTGTTAAAAGAGTCTTACATTGTGCCCTTTTTAGCAAACATTTTCTACTAGCACATTCTCCACATTTGTTTTCCACAACTTGGGACTTTATTCACTTGGAGTTAAAGATGCTGCAGGAAGAATGGAAAACCCCAGCTATGATTTGCCTTCCTTCACAGTTAGTTGGGCACTTCCTATTCCAGCTAGAGGAAGTGGATGAATTCTGAAGAGAAGTTTGAAAATGTGTTGTATATTTGAAGACGTATTTCTTTGTTTCCTCCGGAAGTTACCAGTTTCTCTTTCTGGACAATCAGAAGAGGAAAGAGAAGACATTTCCTTTAATTCAAATAAAAAAATAATAGTACAAAACACAATATTTACATAGGTCTCCTGTATTGTTACAGTTACTGTTGTTACCCTAACTATTTCAGATGCTTTTTTAGCAGTGGCATTTACAGCATGTGTACAAATTGTATTTTATTCCTTGCCTGCTAATGCTGACTACAGACTGTACCAGGTCACTCCTGTTTTCCTTTTACTATCCAGGAATTTTCACTGGGTCTGTTCCATCTGATGCCTCTAGTTTGACTGTTATCGACACTTAACTCCAACGTTATCAGTGCATTGTTGCCTACTGAGAATGGGAAATAATTCTAATGTCTAGCTGATGATGTTCACTTTTTACTGGAGACAACTTGTATTAGGTTTGTGTGGCAAGGTTTTAGTGGTGGGGGAGGGTGCTACAGAAGTAGCTTCTTTGAGAAGCTCCTGGAAGCTTCCTGCATATCCAGCAGAGCCAATCCCAGCTGGCTCCAGGATGGACCAAGGCCAAGCCAACCAGTGATGTAATGCCTCTGATAACAGATTTAAGAAGGAGGAAAAGGTATTGTGCAGAAGTAATTGCAGCCAAAGAAGAGCATGTGAGAACATGTGCGGAGAACAGCCCTACAGACACCCAGGGCAGGGCAGGAGGAGGGGCAGGAGCTGCTCCAGGCGCTGGAGCTGAGATTCCTGGTGAGGCAGCTGTGTCCCTGCAGCCATGGAGGGCACAGGGATGCACAGATCCACCTGCAGCCCATGGAGGAGCCCACACCAGAGCAGGGGAATGCCCAAAGGAGGCTGTGAACCTGTGGGAAGCCCATGCTGGAGCAGCGACCTGTGGAGGAGAGGGGAGCCCATGGTGGAGCAGGTGTCATGATAGGACTTGTGGCACTGCAGGAAACCCATAACGGGCTGTTCCTGAAGAACTGCAGCCCGTGAGAAGGACTCACGTTGGAGTTTGTGAGGACTGTTCTCTGTGGGAGGGAAACCCCCACGCTGAAGGAGGGGAAGGACTCAGTGCCTTGAGGAGGAAGCAGTGGCAAAAGCAATGAGAACTGACCATAACCCCAGACCCTGCCTCACTACACCAGTGAGGGAGAGTTTAAGCCCAGGAAGGAGGGAGGGTGGGCTGGATTTTCTTTAGGATTAGCTTTGTTTCTCATTATCCTGTTTCATTATGATTGGTAGTAAATTCAAATAATTTTGCTATGTAGATTCTGTTTTGCCTATGATGGTATGCAGTGAGTGATCTCTCCCTGCCCTAAATTCATATTTTCTCTCCATGTCCAGCTGAGGAGGGGAGTTGATGGAGCCCAGGCCAATCCATTGCACAACCATTATGGTAAAGATAACATCAAAGAGTTTTCGTTTTTATCTTCTGCTGGATTTTACCCTGACTTATCTGGAAGTCAGTGTTAAACTTATTTTTTGACTAAACACTGCTGCAAATGAAAGCAAAAGCTACCCCATTACTATTTGTCAAACATATATAAAATTATACGTGTTCCTCTCAGAGTTAAATAAAGGTGGCCCTTGGAGACCAATCAAATTTTTGTCATTTGGCTGAATTGACACATCATGACTATGAGCTTGTTGTTATCCCTACATACCAGCTCCCTGAAGGAGAGCTGGCCTATTGCAACGCCAGTGTCCATAGTGAACACTGCTCCCTGATCCATGATTTTATTTGCAATTCAACTACTTCTTACAACTAAGAGTCACCTTATAACAGTTCTGTCTTGACTAGTAAATGTGTAAAATATTCACTGAAGTAAAGAGCACCCCGTTTGATAAACAACGTGTAGCTTTCAATTAAATAGCAAAGGGTGGGTCTACTTTTACTTCCTAGGCTGGAATCCTAAAAGGAAGGATTGATCCACTCTCGTGTTCATCGTTGTGCTGCCGCAGGTCCCGGTATGCGGCAGAGCAGCGCTGGCAAATTGTCCTGACGCCTCTTTTGGAATTGCAGCTTTATGAAATTGACCAGAGCAAGGGCGTGTGAATGGGAGCGTGAGAAAAGCGGGCAAGTGGCACAAGTGAATCATCTTTAACAATGAAAGCAACATGAGTGAAGTTCACGGCTGCTTGTGGAATGCCTAGGTGATTAAATACAAATTAAGCACTTTCTGCGACCAGGGATGTAAAAGGTTATTTAGGATTGTGATATATGCGGAAAGCGGCCTCGCAGTTGCCCTGAGCCACCCAGCCAGGAGCCTGCAACGAGCCTGAGGCAAAAAAAATGCAACTGCTTATCAGGGATGTATTTTTTAAATCCATAAATGACGTGTGACCGACATTTTTTTTCCCCCACACCCTGCCTGCTCCGGTACCTCAGTCCGCCACGGACGGGGGGGAAATGGCGCCCAGGGGGCGAACGCCGGGTCCGGCCGGCTGCGCTCCCTCGCAGCCGGTCACATGCGGCGGGCGGAGCCGCCCGGGGCGGGCCGAGCTCCGCTCCCCGCCCGCCCCCGGTCCCCTCCCCTCCCGCCCCCTCCTGCCCCGTCGCAACCCGGCGGCGGCGCGGTCGGTGGTGCCGATGGAGGCCGGTGCTGAGGCGGAGCCGCTGCTGCCCTCACGGCGCTGGCGGGCGGGCCGGGGGCTGTGGCGGGAGCGCGGCGGTGGCCGCTCGGCCGCCGAGGACGGTGAGTGCCCGGGGCGCTGGAGCGGGCGGAGCTCTTGCCTTTCCCGCAGAGCTGGGGCGTCCTGGGAGCGCAGGGAGGGGCAGGAAGGGCAGGAAGCCCCCCGGGCTGCTGCGGGGCTCGGCCGCCCTGCCCGGGCTGCTCCCGGCCGCTCCGGCGGGGACGGCTCCCAGGGAGCCGCTAGCGCCAGGGCTGCTGCAGCCCCAGGCTGCCTCAGTTCCTTGTGTAATTTTAAGGTTTTCCTCTAGAGTGCTGACAAGGTTTTCTTGGCTGTCGTAGGTCTGACATCTCAGTTCTCCCAGGATGGAATCCTTTGGAGACTTCAGCTTCTCTCTTTCCAGGATATTGCATTAACTAAGGGAGCCTTCACTTTTTGTTGCTCTTTTGTGCAGTTCCAGGAGTGCAGCGCGGTCTGGGATGGATTCTGTGTGCCCAAAGCGAGCAGTGCTTTAATCATCACTTGTGACTAAGTGTCACTTGCTGTGACTAAGAGTTGCAGAATAAGTTTGATATCCATGGTAGAATGCATGGAGAAATTGCTATAGTAAACATTTTTGGCTAATTTCCCTCTTTTATTTTTATACTGTGAACAGTCATTTAGATTCTGCCCTTCCAAAATTCTTGGTATCAACACTAGTGGCTTGCTGTGTGCTTCAAGTACTTAAAGCTTTTGCTGTCCTTGCAATCCTTTTAGCTAATGGTTATTTAAGCAACTTTTGGTTTTATCTCACTAGTGTGAGATGTTATAGAAAAAATCATGCCTTTACTGCGTGGGCCTGGCTTGTCTCCTGTTTATGTTCAGATCTTTCTTGTGTCAGGGTTCGTATCAGGGTCAGTACAAATCTGTTGTTGCTGATGCTCAGATAAAGGGTGGCATTTAAAAACCGTTTGCAGTCTTTGTAGGAAATTGATGCTGCTGAATCATGTGGGGACATAAAATTGTCTGTGGCTCTCATCAGTGGTGCTTCTGGCATTGCTTGGTGTGTGGGGGAGGGCATGGTGCTGCTGCTGGGATGGACTCCTTCGTGCTGTATCCCCGCTTGTGGTTGCTGTCTCCTGGGTGGAGATGGTGTGAATTGCTCTTTGGGACTCTTGTCCTCTGTGGGAAGGTTACACTACCATATGTTTTTCATATCTGGAGTCCTCTTCAGTTTTTTATATCCTTTTATATCTCTCTTTTTTTTTTTTTGCTTCCTTATTTTGACCTTAACTACCTTTATTTCTCTTTTTGCCTTAATTGCCAGGTTAGTTCCTGAAAGGTCTTACTTCAAGTAGACACAAGTGGCTGCCCTTTATTTTTTATGTGTCTATCTTCACACAAACTTCTTAATTATGGGTTTTCAAAAGTGTCATAGTAACTAATTTAGTGGTATTTTATTTCAAATTGTGTTCTTTCACCCCTTGCTGTGTCTTGAGCTCTGATCTGTTTGGTATGGTAATAGTAACTCTCAGAACAAATTTAAAAAGCACTAAATTTAGTTCTCATAAGACTATAGATTCCTCCTGGTTTTGGAGGAACAAGATCACTCTAGACCGCAGTATCTTCATTAAACAAAAATTAAAAATTGCTATAATAGTAGTGCCTGGTTTTCCTGGCTTTGCTTGACTGTATACTCTGTCAAAGAACAATTTGAATCTCCATTATTTTGTCTGTTAGGACTTGTCTCTGTGTAGTTTTGTGATGCTTAACTACCAGTGTACTCTGGCTACTTAAACCTAAAAGAGAACCTTTTAACAAAATACAGGTGCATGATGTGTTTGATATTATTATTATTTAATGTAATGCACAGTGCTGCTGGCAGAGCAGATGTGGCAGGAATGCTCTTTTTTTTGTGTGTGTACAGTGCCCTTTGTCATGAGAACCATGATTGTGCACCTTCTGTTAACTGATAAGCAGTTTTATCCAAAGTTTGTTTATCCAAAATACAGCAAGCAAATCTTATTTCTTTTTTACTTCATAGGTGCTGGAGCTGATAATCACCTTTATATAAACCAAGCTATAGTGTTTATTGAAGATGCAATACAAGTAAGTAACATTTTTTTTGTTAGCTTTCATGCTTCCCATGCTGGATGCTTGTCACGCACTCTGCCAGTTTTTAAGTTCTTCTGTGTTCAGGCAACATTTGTAAACCACCATCTCAATTCACAAAGCAAAATCAGAATTCCAAATTCCTGTGGTATGCAAGTCTCAGTGAACTTCTGCCTAGGAGAAATATATTTTTCCCCACAATTAAGTAATCTCTTTAAGGGTTTCAGAAGACATGCTGGTTTGTGGAGTGATTTTCATGGTGGTTTTTTGTTTATTTGTTTGGGTTGGTTTGATTGTGGATGTTTTGCTAGTGACTAACCTACTGCTGAGAGAAATGACTTGAGCAAACGCTGTAATTTGCCTCTCAGTCTGACTACTTGCACATCTTAAGAGCTGGTAAAAGCTCAGGAGTTTAAGGCTGGCTTCAAGTGTGAAGCTGGGACTCTTCAGCTTCAGCTGAACTTGATGCCTTTGGAAGTCTGGATTCCTTCTTTGTCACTCCTTTACTGGCCAGTACTGCAGGCTCCTAGATCCTGTTTTCTCCCAGGCAGTGGGAATGCTGAAGGGCAGCTCTTGAGCTCTCTTGCTGCATTTTAATTGGGAGATTTCTGGGGGTCAGATGTATTTAAGGTGTGGCCACCTTTCTGGAAGCATCTACTCAGCGGGGGCAGAGTAAGAACAGCCCCGGAGCTGGCACAGAGGAGGGACATATTTTGTGGATTCCTTAAGAATCACAGGCACTTCCTGATCTGGAAGCATATTTATTCAAAGACATAGGTTGAGGTCTCTTCTATTCAGAATTAATTTGTTTGCATCTTATGGCCTGTTGGAAGAAAGAGACAAAAGAAGAGGCATGAATGGAATGAATGCTGGAGAGGGAAATTAAGTGGGTGGACCATTTTGGCGAGTACGTAGAATAGTCACTGAATTATTACAAATGCTGTTATTTGAAATGATGATAGTGCTTGCTTGAGATGACTGGCACGCAATTTAATTATCTGAGCAGCTCTGTGGTCTTTAGATAGCAAAACTTCTTTATAATCTTGCCCTTTTCACACATGTACCTCTGTGATCATGGGTGACCTGATACTTTAATAACATGTAGTAATTTGGTTTGCTTTGGTCACTTGATCTTTGCTTTTGAGACAGACTGAATGTAATGTTTGAGTTAGCCTTTTTGCTTCCTGCCTTCAGTACCGATCTATAAATCACCGTGTGGACTCCAAATCCCTGTGGCTTTATCGATGGTACTATTCCAGGACTTGCCAGTGGTAAGAACTTGGTTATTCTCTTTGCTTTTTTGTTTAGGAGTTAGTCTTCCTGAAAAACTACTCTTCCTCTTTCCTACTTGTTAGATAATTAGGTAATTGTGTTTTTATCTTTATAAGAACTTATTCTGGGAAACACATAAGTTCTTATGACCACATGTGAGCACGATAGAAGTGGAAAGTAGAAAATTTTATGAAAGTATGATGACATAGATGGCTCTTTGGAGACAGCCACTGGATTATTGCATGAGTGGACTAATTAGCATGATTTAAAGCACTGCGGCTTAAGAGTTTTCAAAGGATCTGTTTCTAAACATATTGGATACGGGCAAGACTGTTTGCTGCTGTTAGTTTCCAAAGGACACCACCTCAGGTTATTTAGTGGTCAGCAGTTACATCTCCAGTGCAGGCAACAGCACGCTAGTCAAGTGCTGCCTTGTGGTCTAACCCATTTGAGTGAAATATGGTATCCTAAAGCTTGGTTTACTTCAAAGAATATTGCTTTACTCTAAGTATTTTGTTATTATTTTGACTCATTTTGTGACTGTTTTATGGGGTTTGTTTTGGGGTGGTGCTTTTTTGTACCTTTTTTTATGGTTTTGTTGGTTTTATTTTTCATTTAATTTCTGTCCAAACAGGATTCTGAGCTTAACCATTACTGTAATCTTGACTTTGGCTTTCGTTGAAGAGCCTTCCTCACTCACCATCACGTCTGATGTGCGCTACCGCCTTCCTGCATGGAATCCTCCCTGTGGCCTCACGGAGAGCGTGGAGCTGCTCTGCTTCCTGGTGTTCGTGGTTGATGTGTCTGTGAAGGTGAGCATCTCCTTCACCTGGTACTGAATGAAGCAGTAGGTGTGTGGTAGAATTGTTTTTCAAATCTTGAGTTTGCAGGATGAAATTGCTGTGCTTTATTAGAGCCTCATTTCAGGAGAAATTAGCAAGTGTGTATTTACTTAATTAAGACATTTATTCCCTTTTTTTTTAAACCTAATTTTACTAATTGAGTGAAGTAAAATTAAATAAATTTTGCTGAGAGTGCAAGTGTTTTGGCTTAGCTGCTTGTATTAGGTTGTAAAATCAGACTATATAATAAATATGTGTCAGTTCATTTACACAAAATAAAAGTTGTCAGAAACTGACCTTTCTTAGGATACTTATCTTTGGAAAATCCCTTTTTTATGTTTATTAAGTGGAGAATTTTCTTGCAACCAAAGGATTTCTCTTGCGTGACCTTTGTGCAACTTTTACTTTTGCTGGCCTTTATTTAGTTCTTGTAGAAAAAAATCTCTCAACGACGTATTTTTGTTTGGATTTTGGAGAGCTTTTTAAGAGCACTAATGTAAAATTGCAGATACTTGGAAAAAAAATTGGTGCTGACTTATTACGGTATTGGATTTTATTAGTAAAGTAAGTTATGGTCGTTCTTTTTTTCCCCTTGTCCAGAGTTACTTAATTGGATGGAAAGAATTTTGGAAAAATAAATGGCTAATGGCTTATATACTGACATTAATTGTTTCCCTTACTGATTGGATTGTGTCACTGAGTTTTTTCTGCAAAGAGGTAAGAACAGCTTTACTTTGGTCTTTCATGGCTGGATAATTCACCGAAGCATTGAAAAAGTTTGGTGTAGTGTAGCTTAGTAAAGAATTCTGTATGATTCTTAATGCAAATTTTGTGTTTGTTGGTAAAATTAAATAGCACTCATTGCTTTAGTTTGTCAGCAGTTGAAGAGTGCAGGGAAAACTTAGTGCCTGGCACCAATTTTGTCATGCAATTGGAGAATTATGTGCTTAACTTGGCTGAATGGCAAAGCCTCTGAAGTAAAGTATATGAAAAAGGTAATTAAAAAGGTAATTAGGTAGTTTAACATCTGCTTTCTAACCTGAAGCTACGCTGTGTTCAAAACAGTTGTGTCCTGAGAGGAATATCAAGTTTGGAAATGGTTCTAGAAGTGCCTTCCTTGATGTAATACTACACTCTTCCAGTTGGTTTTGTCTGCCACAGATTTACATTAAATTAGTTGTTGTGCACTTGTAATCCTTGTTAAGAAAACACTAGTGTGGTAAAAATGCTGGGAAGTGAATGAGAGAGACATGCTCTTAAAATGTGAAATCTTGAGGTGTGATGGTGGACAGGGAGTTTGAACAGGAGTTTCCCAACAGAAAGCAGTGGCAGAAGGAGCAGTCGAACTGCTGGGATGGATGAACAAGAGAATAGAAATAAAGAAAGTCATTTTTATGGATTTTGTTGCTGCTAAGTGTGGCCCACAAAAGACAGATCCTAAAATGCAAGATGCTGAAACACTTGAAATAGCATATAAGTGACAGGAATAACTTGAAGACTTGCAAATATCTTGACTGCAAGAAGCAAAAAGATTATTTGCTGCAGTGTTGTGGGGAAAAAAAACACTTACAGCTTGAGTCTTGTCAGAGACACAAACTGGTAAGTAATTGCCAGGCCCTTCAGTTACAAAACAGTCGGAAAATTGAAGTTAAGCACTTATTTTTAGAATATATATTTGTTTTTATGGACAGTAGCTCTCTATTAGTCCCTTTCTTGAGATGGAACTTGGCAGAAAATGCAAAAATGCCATCTCTTGCAAGATTGTTGTGTCTACTGAGCAGTAAATTTAGATTGTTTCCAGTTAGTGGCCTGATGAAACTATTGAAATGTCAATGTGTGTTTTTAAAGCAATCTCTCCTCATTTTAATGAGGTGTGGAATCTTTTTTGGTGTTTTGTGAGCTCAGAAGGGCAGAGCTCAGTTCTTTTTTTGTTCCGCTGTTGGCTTAGTCAATGTGTGTGTCCAGTGCTTTGTGACAAACTTGCATTCAAAATATTTGAGCTGCCAGTCTTGCAGGAACTCAGTGTCTGATCCGTTGTTTTTTTTGCAGAGTGTGAGAATAAGAAGAATCCTTCGCCCATTCTTTCTCCTCCAGAATTCTTCTATGATGAAGAAAACATTAAAAAGTATCAACAGCACACTGCCTGAAATGGCGAGGTGGGTTATAGCACAGAAAACATCCTTTCACAGGATGGCTGGTAGCAGGCAGGTTGTTATCCTTTGAGTTCTGGTGTGGGACATCTGAGCAGCTTCCTTCTGGATCAGGTAGCTAAGTGCTCAGTGACATCAGGTCACAGAGGGTGAAGGTTGTGGTAACTTTTTAAATCCCCTTAGTCTGTACAAGATTTCTAGACTTTGAGATGAACTCTGTGTGTGGCATAGGGTTTTTTAATGCTAGTCGAGTGGGAGGTTTTGATTCTGCTTTTCTAAGCCCTTTTGTAAGGGAAGAACTGAGACACATAAGTGTGATTTTTATTTTGTATCAAAACTCACATCTCCTCCTGTTATCTCCATATAACTTCTTAAAAACACCCCTGGTTTTCATTATATGGCATAATTTTGCATTTTTAGCAGAGGATATTAAGAATAAGATAAAGCTACTGTTAATACTTTGATATATTTGCTTTCCAACAGTGTTCTTCTACTACTGGCTGTTCATCTGTCTCTCTTCACCATGTTTGCCATGCTGCTCTTTGCTCGAACAAAGGTAATCAGTTCTCTGGCTGCTTTGGTAGATTTGGGTGCCTTTTTTCTGTACTTGCACAGCTGCTTCTTGTCTAGTTTTATAGTCAAACTAGTGAAACTCGTTTTCGCTGAAAAAGGTCACGTTGTCAGACGTGCTGAGATGAGTTTGAAGTCCATTTGGAGAGCTTTAACGTGTGCATAGTATCATGTATGCAGGAGACTTCCTTATCCAAGTTTGATCCCTTGAGTTACTTTCTCTTGTTGAAGAGAAAGTAACTTTTGTTGAAACCCTCTGTGCTGTTCTGTCTCCAAAGCTCTCATCACTCTTTCATTTATATTATCACTCTTTTTTTTTTTTCTTCCCTATCTAGCTTTTTGCTAACTTTAGTTTCTTCTGTGTTTTCTTGCTTTTCAATACTGTTATTCCTACCAGGCCATGCCCTGGTAGGTTTTTGCCTGTACTAGTTTTGGTTTCTGATCCCTCTGGGTTTTTCTCTTGTTTTTCTCTTCCTGCTTCTGAAAAGCAAAATTGAAATTTTGTGGTTAAAATAATTTTTGTGTTCCGATAATCTTGATGTGTTCCTTCTCTTTTAGACTTCCTGTATCTTAATTTATCACACTCAGATTATTTGTTTTTTTTTTCATTCTTACTTTTTAAGGCCTTCCGTAAATATGTTAGTGTAAACACAACAACTTCTTGCATACTTCTCCCAGTAATTCTGGTCCCATCCTTAATCTCAGTTTTGCACCTTCATTTCTGCTATAATTTGCACTTGAGCCAGCTTCTAGTCTTCCTCACGATCAGCAAATTCCCTGAATTCCCATGTTACAGAATCTTTGGAATTAAAAGCAGAAGTGTGTTTTCTCACTGTTAGTTGCCTTCTGGAACTTTGTATTATCTCTGTTTGTCACATCTAATTTCAGCTATGAGCTTCCCCAGCAGATGTATATTTATAACTTGTATACTAAACTAATCACTTGTGTGTACATTGAGGCAAAAAATAACAAATGAGAGAGTGGACTTTCCTATTTTGGTGTGCTGCTCTGACATCCATACAAACTAATTTAATCTAACATGGCAAAATACTGCAGGCAAGTTCTAAAAGTAGGTTTATTAATGAAATTCATGACTCTGCATTGTCTTGTCTGTGTCCTCTAGGGTTACATATTGCAGTCTTTACAGCAGATTCAAGGGCTGTTTGTCCTGTGCTGCCTGACTCATATTTGTGGTGTTTGCACTCTGCATCTTTTTTTATCTGTCTCTTCTTGACCTCCAGAAAAAAAAATACCTGTGGAGGATCCAAGGATCCAAGATCAGCCTCCCAGTGTGTTTTTGATGAAGGTTCTGAGTCCCATACTGTCAGTTTGCGGTGTGATTGTTCTTCCTGGGTCTGAGGTGCTAACTAGACATAACTTCACATGGGCCTTCCTGTTCTTACTTGTGCTTTTTTATTGCTGTTAATAAGTGATGTGATTGCTCTGTATTCATACACATTCTCTTAATTTTTATGTTTGGCTTTTGCTTTTTCCGTGGGGCAGATTTGATTACGTGTGTAAGAAATTGATCGTTGACTGATACTAATTATTTTTTAAAAATTTAAACTTTTTTTCCGCCTTCCTTGCTAAGACAGTGATTCCTTGGTATTTCTCTTAACAATGCCTAGGATAACCAGCAGGATAAGGAGTGGGTGGTGTATTTCCGGAATTTGCCGGATTCCCTGACGTCACTGCTGGTCCTGCTGACTACTGCAAATAATCCTGATGGTGAGCAGTCTTTCAGAAATAACACTTATCTCTCCTTTTGAAGAACACCAGAGTAAGATTGCTCTGTTCAGACTACTGTAACCATTCTTTCAGCTTCTGGTTCTTAGTACAGCCAGAGGAAGTTTGTGTAAAGGTTCATCATGCCTTTAGTAACTTGATTTTTGCTTTTCTGTGGTGTAATTGTAAATGCCACTCTAAAATCCAGCTGTATGAGAGCTTTTACCAATTACCAAAAATTCATAGATGTCTCTACTGTGGATCTCAAGCATTAAAATAATGTTTCCTATTTTTGTTAAATTTGATTCAGTGATGATACCTGCATATTCTAAGAATCGAGCATATTCGATCTTCTTCATCCTCTTCACTGTATTAGGTAAGTTACCTGTTGTCTTCAATGCACTTCAACTTTGACACTTGTGCATACCATCTACACTGTTTTATTTTTCTAGGAACGTTTAATCATGAATTTCTCACTTGTGTGATTCTTCCAGTTATTGCAAAGTGTCTGTAAGATCATTTTCATGGAAGGTTCTTATGGTTTGGAGTTTCTTGGTAACATGTCACAAGGGAGTGGATGCATTACAGTATATTGAAACATTGAAAACGTCTTGGAAATCAAACACAAGAAAACTAACCTTTTACTTTTGATTTACTGCATATGTTGAAACTTCTTTGAGAAACAGATATTTTTCAGTAAATTTTACTACTTCTTTTTCTCCAATAGGCAACTTGTTTTTGATGAATTTGCTTACAGCAATAATATACAACCAGTTTCGAGGGTACCTTCTGGTGAGTAAAGCATTCCTAATTCCTATGTTCTGCCATAACCTTGAACCTTGGAAGAATTAAGTTTCATCTGTATTAAAGGAGCCTTCCCACTCTGGTTGCAGATACAGTTTTAAGGTACTAAATGTTCTTTGATGCAGATACTTTCCCCTTTATATGCTGTTACAGCTTGATCCCCTCTGGTGACAAAACCTGCTTGCATATTTCCAAGTATGGTGTGGATCTGCTATTTTGACTATTTGTAGGGGAAAATAAAAAGGAACTGTTGTATGACTGAACAAGGACAAGTGACTGAGTAACTTAAACTGTGTGAAGGAAATCTGCTGTACTGTTTAAATAGCTGCTGTTGCAGATCATAGAATGTTGAGGGATTGGAAGGTACCTTAGCGATCATTCATGGGCAGGGACACCTCCCAGTAGACCAAGCCTTACCCAGACTGGCCCAGTAGCTTTTCTGGTAGAGTTCCAGAGAGAAGGTGAAGTTTGTTGGATAATAAGCTTGAAGCAGTGTTACTCAGAATGAATGGCCCCCACCCTCTTGTGGCAGAGGATTGTGTAAACAGAAAGGACTTTGGTAATCCTTTCCTCTTCCTCTGTTTCATCCCTTCTTTCTCAATTTTCTTCTTTCTTACCTGATAGCATGACATAATCTGACTATTAATAAAGTAACTGAGTTTGCAAGTGATTACTGTAATTCAAAAACCCATGAAAAACCATAGCTCTGGATTTGTGCTTTTAGACAAGAAGCTGGAGTAGGATTAGCTCTCTAACTCTTCTCTCTGCATGCTATGTGAATTTCTGTTAATGCTTGAGCTTTGCTGTTGCCAGTGTATCTGGAAGAGGCATATGCCTCTGCACTCCAGAATAGAAAATAAACTGTAACCTGCATGTTTACTTGAATTCCAGGGACTTGTTTGCTTACTTGCTTCCTTCCTCCTTGTACAAGGAGTTCTTGGAAGGAGTGAGGCCTAGAGCAGTCTCCCGTTCCGTTCTCTAATCACAAATCTGGGATGTGTGCCCAAGGATCAGTATATTATTTGGCCATAGGACACAGTAGTGCCTGAAGTGCAAGTAACTTGTTTCCTCTGTGGTGTTTTTACTGCTCAGAAATCAGTTCAGTCCTCCCTCTTCAGGAGGCGGCTGGGAATCCGGGCTGCCTTTGAAGTGCTGTCTTCCCTGAAAGAGACTCCTGCTAGTGCACAACAGTAAGTGAAGGATCTTGAAAAGTAGATTATCCAAAAAAAAAAAAAGTAGATTTTTGTCATCCTGTTTAGTTTTAATATATTTACTGAGGATGCATTCTCGAAAATGGCAGTTTGTTGCTCATCTAATTTATTTATTTTTTCTGAAACTGGATATTCATAACACAGTGTTGGTGACTCTTATGGGGTCTGCTTCCTTCTTTCCTACTTCTAGTTTCATTTGCTTTTCAAAACAAGAAAGAGGCAGGAACACATTTGAAACAGCTCATTTTGCCTTCTGTGAAGTTATCTGTAGCAGGGCCCATTCTGTTTTCTTTTAAATAGGTCCTGTGTCAGTGTTGGGGCCTTACTACAGGTGCTGCAGAAAGCTGAGATGGATTCTCGCTGCAAGCAAGCCATCATGAGGGTAAGAACTGGATTTTCTTAGCCTTTACGTTGGTGACTGTCAAGCCTGACTAGCAAATCTAAAGATCTGCCCTCTGTTGCAGCATTCCTTGGATCATAACAGAATAGTGGCACTACTACATGGTACTAAAATTCAAGTTAGTCAAAGGAGCATGTGATCCCAGAGAGGGAAAACCGAAAAGGCCAGACATGTCCTCCAGTCACTTGGAGTGTTGTATTAAAGCAGAGCAATATTGAACCTTACTCAAACAGCTTGAATTACATCTTTATTCCTAGATTTCTAAGGTACTCTGAGGGGTTTTGGCAGACTTTACAGATGTTCCTATTGCAAATGTTGATCTGAATGTTTCTCTTTCATGTCAAGTCACTCAAAATGTGCTCCTGTGACCAGCTGTCAGCTGCCCAGTTCCAGAAGCTCTTTGAAGAACTAGACAAAGATGCCATTAAGCAAGTATGTATGTGAACATCATTTACAAATCATCAGAAGTTGTCTGGCCTTGTACAAAAATAAGTGAGAGTACTCTAGTATAAAGTGTATAAACAAACTTTTCAGCATGTGAACACAAGGTGTGATCACATTGACTTTTAAGCTTTTTGTGAGCAGCTTTTATAGCCACAGACAAAATTGCTCTAGGGGCTTTTACAGCATTAGTGTGGGATTGCTAGATGTACAAAATACATCTTTGTTTATTCTGTCAGCATTTGAAAGTGAGTTGTTCAGGCAAAATAGTTCAAAGTCTTTTTCCTCCAATCTCGGAATGAAGAACAAAACGTGAATTCTCTCAGTGTTCAGATGAAGATGGGCAGAAAGCAGTTTTCTCCACTTGGAGAGGGAAAGAAAAAAAACAAAACACTAAATTATTTGAGGGTTAGGAAATGTTCTCTTCTATGTTTGCACATATCTAAGACTTCTGAATTAAGTGTTGGGAAGTGGAAAAGGGATGTATACAAATAGTAGCTTGGTGTTTAGTTTATCTGCTTGGGGCATTGGAGAGAGGTTGGATTATCTTCCTTCTTTGCCATTACCTTTTGCTGTGCCATAATCAGAAATGGTTTCTTGCTGTTAATGGCCACATCTGGAAAACATTTTCCTGATGAAATGTCAGAATTAGCCTGTGGCCCTGAAGATTTGCTTTGAAACTGTCTGGGGTTTTTTAAATCTGAGATGGGGTGTGTTTTTAAAATTATTGTATTATTTTTAAAATGCTTATTCTTTGTGACTCAGCAAATAGTTTGTGTTCTTTTCAGCACCCTCCAAGTCCAGAGTACCAATCGCATTTTATGCAGAAAATGCAGTTTGCCTTTGGCCATCCCTACTTTGGCTACTTGGGGAATGTGGTAGCCCTGGCAAACATTATTTCTATTTGTGTAAGTAAAGTTGTTTTTTTTTGTTGTGGGGCAATGATTTTCTTTCTTTTCCTTTTTATAATTGTTTTTTGGCTTTTCTCTGCTGCAAATTTAATTTCTGCTTTTGTTCTTTAATTTTCTTTAAATAACTGCTTTTTCTAGAAGTTGGGTTTTTGGCATGCTTTAGTCATGCAAAGTGTTAAGAGGAAATACTTGCAGTTAAAAATGTATTTTCAGCTGCTTGAAAAGGTCTATGCAAAACATGAAAGACTGTTCTTGTGCTTAAAAATCTGTTTAATGTAGCAGTAAAGCTACATTGAAGATTCATAAAATATTTTTTGTTTAAGGTGGTTTTGGTGGTGGATGCAGACAAACAGCCATCTGAAAGAGATGACTTCTTCCTAGGGGTAAGATGCAACAATATTCCATGCAGTTATTGCTGTTCCCTGAGATATCAGGAATTCTAATGGTTGTTTTTCTTTTGGGGGGTGAAGGCTATCAACTGTTTCTTTATCCTGTACTATCTGCTGGAAATGTTGCTGAAAATCTTAGCAATGGGCTTGAAAAGGTACTTGTCTTACCCAAGCAATAGATTTGATGGACTTCTGACTGTAATTTTGCTGGTAAGTGCATTGTTAGCTTACACATTCTTGGATTTGTTGGCTAGGGAGGTTAGGGAACTACAAGAGCTGGTGGGATTACTTTTTTAACACTGATTTGTTGAATTGAACAACATGAGCCAGTGTTGTGGGTTTCTGTGCCTGGAAAGTTTACATGGTGGTACATGGTTCTCTTAGGGTCTGTGTTCTGAAGACAGGCTTATTTAAATCCATGGAAAAGGCTGATAAGAAGATTTTTAAATTTTATTTGGAAAAATTCAGCTCCTGGAATAATTGCATGAGGCATTCTGTTTCATAGTTTAAAACCACTTTTCTCTTTAAATTTAAAAACAATTGTCGGATTATTATAGTTATTATTTGGTCAGAGCCTGACACCCGTGTGGCAGATGAGGTCAAATTCATGGTTAATGGTATTCACTGCATATCCTTTTGTGAGTCACTGTTGGATGCTCTATGTACATTTGGTTAGTTTGGAGAATAACTAGGCAAATATGACAATTCAGAGCTTTAAAGCGAGTTGAATTAGTGGCTTAAAGCTCTTGAAAATGTTTCTTGTCAAGAAGCTTACATAATTTCTGGAACTCAGATTTATAAAGCAAAGTTTTTTTTGTTTTCTTTTGGTTTTGGTTTTGGTTTTTTTTTTTGTTTTTTTTTGGTTTTTCTTTCCTAACTGAAGATTCTGGAGATTGCAACTTTTGCTGTGTATGGATTTCCTCATCCTGGCTGGTGAGTAACCTCTGTGACCTGCTGCCCTTTGCTCAGTGGCTGGGATGGGTCAGGGGAACACACACATTGTCACATATACACGTCATGATGCTGTGATTGTCAGCCCAGTCTTTAATTTACCAAATTTGGTAGAATTTTGCACCCTTGTAGTCACTAGAGGCCATGAAATATGGATAAGTGAAATAAATTTTCTTTTTTCCTAGTGTTCTAGAGTTCTGTAGCTCTTCTGAGAAGGATGCATTTGTTTTAATTGTAATCTGATTTAAAATAATATCTTAGCAGCTCTGTGCTTACCAGGGGTGCAGAAGTAGGAATATGGTACTGCATACACAACCTAATATGTTTCAGTACCAGATTGCCCATAAATCAAGTTATATGAACTCCCAAACTGCTGATGAAACCTCTTCACACCTGTATGTAGATTGAAGGCTGAGGTTTTTTCATGCTATAAAATTTTCATGCTAAAAAATGTAGTAAGAAAATTTCCATTGACCTAACGCTATTTATTGGTATTATAATAGCAAGCAGTTGTTTTTTGATTTTCTTAAGTTCAAACAGCTTTTGGATAACTATCCTGATTTCTTTTTTATTGTAAAAAACATAAAAATCATTGCTTCATCTTAAAGTTTGAAAACCGTCTCCACAAGAAGAGAGGAAAGCAAAGCAATCCTGGAAGATTTCCTGAATATTCAGGAGTGATTCATAACACTTTCTGTTGCTTTGTGTCTTCATGCAAGCTCACACTTAAGACACTGACACTCCCTGATTTTTCAGGATATTTGTTATGTTGCCATCAAGAAGTTCTCTTAATTTACACTAGAATCTCTGAACAGAGTTAGACAAGTCAGTCCTTACGGTTTTAGAAGGGTTTATATTTGAATACTGCTTGTATTCCTGTCACCTAGAAGTGATAGTTGCCAGAAGAGCAATTGCTACAGACTAATTATGTTAATTATTTATGTTATCATTATGTTTGTGTTTGATTCTGCCCTTTGATTCCTAAATGTAGGCAATTGCTTGCTCTATCATCTTGGAGCACCAGTAATTCTTGTTAGGTCTTTGTGTCAGTCACTGCAGGGAGGTTACAATCCAGATGAATCCTTCTGAGTCCTGATGTGTGCTGCTGTCACATCCACACACCAAGCAACCACCACCTTCAGGGCAGGACAGTGATGTTGCTGTTATCTAGACTGTGCCTTCTATGCAGTGTTAAATTAAATAATTTTGTTCATTACTGGGGTTGAATATATTGGAGGTACAAATCATGATTTAGCATCAGTGTTACCAAGTCATTGGCAGCTTTAGTTTTAGTTCCCCACCACCTGCCCTCCTTTCCAGCCAAGAAGCATTTAGCATGCTCATGTAAAAGCCAAAATTCAGGGCTGGTTTTTGAAGTGTATGTCCATCTCCCATGGAATGTTAACACATAAGGAAGAAGGTTGACAAGACAGTCCTTTAACCTAGTGCTGTTTTCAAAGCCCTTCTTCAGCCAGGCATGCCCTGAAGGATTAATGCCCATCTTTGTGTATGTTCCTGAAGTATCTCCCTCTAGCAATCCTTTTGATTCACTTGGTTTTCTGAAAGGACCCCTCTTTGGTGCCTCCTCCCCAGCAGAAGGCACAAACATGCACTTCAAAGAGCTCTCTACATATTTTAAGAGCCCAGGCTAAAGGGATTCCTTCCTTCATCAGTTACTAGTTCACTGTAGCTGTGATTCCTGCTAAGTAAATCAATGTACTTACCTGTACAGATTTAACTGTGTTGTTCTGTCATGGGCTGTTCCTCTGATTTGTTACTTTTCTGCCCTTCCTAGGAGGCCTGAGTTCATGGGCTTGTTGTCCCTGTGGGATATGGTGCGGCTGGTGAACATGCTAATTGTCTTCAGGTTCCTGCGGATTATTCCCAACATGAAGGTGATTGCTCTTCCCTCTACAACTTGGCTTTCCTTGTTGGTCAAGCTATAAATTTTGTTAGAGCCTTTCAGAGTAGGTTGCAATTCTCTTGCACGTGAGTGGAATAGCTCAGCTCTAACTGTCCTGACTTTTGCACAGCCCCTCACAAAATCACTGACTCTTGCCTGCTCCCTCACCAGAGAAAACTAGCTTAAGTTCTCTTGATGTGATTCTTTGTCCTTTTAGTAAAAATTTGATATGGATTGGAAGTGTGATGAAAGTCACAGGTACAAAATTCTGCTCTGTTTTAGTTCATGGCTTTGGTTGTTACTACACTGCTGGATCTGGTGAAAAACTTGAGAGCCTTTGCAGGAATCCTTGTGGTAAGTCACGATGCAAGATTGTAATTTTCTTTGTTGTAGTTCAGTAAGCGTATGTCACCAACAAAGTTAACAAGGTTCTTGTACAATCACCATGAGCAGTAACATTTCACTTTAACCAGCCAGTTCTTCTCCAGGGCACGTCTTGGAAAGCCACAATAAACTGCTGGTTTGTGATAGCACACAGTGGCAGTGCCTCCTTTAGGAGGAGCATCTTTAAAAGATTAATTAAAGCTCCCTTTGAGTGTTTGCCTTAGCTTGGGTAGTGTGGATTCAAATTAAAAATTAATCCATGCTAAAAGTAGACCAGTTTTCCTTACCCTGATTTGCATGTGTTAAATTAAATAGCAAAACAACTTTTAAATTGTTTTTGGCTGAGAAGGTCTTAAGATGGCATGTTTGGACATGGTTTTTTTAAGAGCCTCTGCCATCCTGTTTTATGTATGTCTGTGTAGAACATAGACTCAACAAATGTGATTAAAGGGTGGATCCCATGTCCATTACATGAATTCTCCCAACTCTTGAGTTTCTGGCTTTGCAACCCTGTCTTCCTGGTAGGGCAAAGAAGTGCCTGGGTAGGTTTGGTTTTGCTATTGTTCTTGAGTTTTTGTAGGGTACCTTAATTTGAATGGTTGAAGATCAATGATTTGTTGTTCTAGTCTATATACCTAGCATGCAATTTAACCAGAATGTCTATTTTTGTCATTAATAATCTCTACTTTTATCTGTAGAGGATAGGCCTTAAATTGGCTTATGTTGCACTTTGAAATAAAGATATTGGTTGGGGCAAATTTGAGGTGGTAAAAACCTTTCTGTGCTGTGCAACTCAGATTTCTGGGACAGGTCTGCCATAGTGTTTGCCTCTTCCATTAATTTAATTTGCTTTTACTTGAGGCTACATGGAAGCTCTCACTGAGCTTCTGCTGTAGTGAAATCTGACTCCATTGCCAGCTGATGCTAAATATCTTTCCTAATGTTAGCCTGGAACACATGTGCAGATAAAATAATGTAACTGATTACCTAATTTCTTAGGCAGCGAGTGTTTTAAATATGTGTTTTTTCAAAGAATAAAATTAATTTTATTGCCCGGCCGGATACCCCATCTTCTGGCAGGCTATGAAATGTCAGCTTCAGCTTGGTCCAGTGGTGTTCAAAGTTTGTAGGCCAGGGCAGCTCTCTTCTGTTGCTTCCAGACTTCCCATTCTTGGGTTTGTTTTGTAGCAAAATACAAAAAAATCCCAAAAACAACCAAACAAAAAAACCCCACACCAGATTTTTTTGTTTGAAGACTCAGCTTGCTTCAAGCTTTCCTGGGATAAATGGCTCCTTCACAGGGAAGCAAAGCAAAGTTGTAGGTTATTTCTAGAACAAATCTTTTTAGGGTAAAAATTGCAATGTCACCTAGACAATTGCTAAAGACTGAAAGGTGTCTCTTTAAAAAGAAGTTTGCATTTCTAACAATTAGAAGACAGAAGTTCCCAAATGCTTTGTGTTATTCAAAACTTTATTTTTAGACTAATCAGCATTTTTAAGGAAGTTGCTGATGGAATATAAAATAATGATATAGTTTTGTCTTTCAGTTAAGTTCACTAAAAGGTTATTTTCATTGACTCTAGCAGAAAACTCAGATATTTAGGTTGTTCTTTGTAAATACTGGTACTGAGTTTTGGTTTTAAGTCACTGTTCTGCAATGTTTATAGTTAAAAATCAGCATTCTGAGACACAGAGAAGTAAAATAGATGATAAAATTATTTAATGCATTTTAATAACTGAAAATTAGGTAGAATATTAAAAAGTAAGAGCAGGCAGTTGAGAAGTATTTTCACTTTAAAAGCTTCAGGCACTGTTCTTGATGCTGTTGCCTCAACTGTAGTACTAATACGAATTTCGTGTTAATTGTATTTTGCTTTCTTACTTTGTGACAAAAATATTCAAAGGTTAATAGTTGGTTGTGTTCCTTCCAGGTGGTTTTCTATGCATTTGCTATAACTGGCATAATGCTGTTTAAAGGTGCTGTTGTTCCCTTGGGAAATACCAGGTAAGATTCTAAAACATCACTGCTCAGAAAGAATCTGTTTTTCCAAAGCATCTGTGCCTTTTTACCTCTGAGCTGTTTGTGGATGGTTTTGTTCGGTTTATTTTTTTGCTCTCATTCTTGGAGCCACCCTACTTTTAATGTTAAATCACACAATGCATTATCTGTTACTCCTTCTGTTTCTTCTTGCTGCATTGAAATTGCAGGAATGCTTATCTGTAGTTTTACCCTGCTTTATCTGAAATACATTTTTTGAATGGTTTCCCTTGTTTTCTGCCCATATGAGATAATCTAACTTTCTCCAAGGGGCTCTAAAGCAGAGTTCACAGGGAGCTGTGTTCACATCAGCCTGTAATCTCTTGCAGTGCTGCCAACACCACACATGACAATGGCACTCTGCAGTGTGGGACCTATGAACAGCTGGAATATTGGCCCAACAACTTCGATGACTTTGCTGTGAGTGTGATCATAGATGAAATCCCTGTTCTTCCGCTCTCTGCTTGTCTTTCCTCCTCATTTTCTGAGGCTTAGGTCTGTGGCACAGCCACTTAAACGCTGGTCTACTCCTGCTTTTTTAGGCAGCAGTGGTGACCCTCTGGGATGTGATGGTGGTGAACAACTGGCAAGTCTTTTTGGATGCATTTTCAAGATATTCAAGTCCGTAAGTAGCTGTAGTAATACTGAAGAAGTCCCATATAAATCCAGCTTATAATGTACCTGAACAAGAAGTATACACATAGCACAGTTCCTACCATCTGCTCGGAGGAGTGCTGCTTACCTTTCTTTTGGACCAATTTTGATATATAGGAAATAAATATAATGCTTCTGTGTTTTCTATGTGGATGAATATTTTTTTCTAGACTTAAAACTTGGGACATACCTTTCATTTGTATTTACTGACTCATAGGGAATGTTTGAATGAACTGGACAGCACCTGGGTTGAGCTGTTTCAGTGACCTTTGGCTGGTTAACCCAGGAGATTTAGTCTGTTTAGCTAACTTAATGAAAAACAAACATTTTTTATTTTTAATTTTTTGATTCAGGCCCCCTTTTCCATTAAGAAAGTAGCAGTATTGTATTTCAAGGAAAAAAATGTGATTTCATGGTGCTCTGCTCAGGCTGAGGTTATTTACTGCCTCCTTTATGTATTGTCTGTTCATCTGATCTGCAGGTGGGCAAAGATCTATTTTGTAGCCTGGTGGTTGATCTCCTCTGTCATCTGGGTTAATCTCTTCGTAGCTTTACTTCTGGAGGTAAGGAAGTGTGTTTATTTGGTGTGAGATCCTGAAAATGGGTTCTAATTTGTGCAGGAAATGAAAAGAACCCAGACAATTTTATGTTGAGTTTGTGTGTGTGTGCTTACTTTACCTTTCTTGCTGCCCTATGCCCAAGAAGCTGGGGAATTGTTTTCTTTTTCCTAGAGAATTATATGTTTTATTTGCAGTTTTGTCACAAAACTGGTTTTGTCTCATTGGGTATGTACATTTTCATTGTAATACTCTCCTTATTATAAAGTAAAATATTATAAAATTGCTTGTCTCTTAATACATTACCATTTAAATTCAGCATTAATTATTCAAGCTGTAGGCTTTTTTGCATTTTAATTTGTCAGCAAATGAAGTGAGCAATTTAAATTAAAAAATTTTATTTTATTTGATTCTCCTGTGTTTCTTCCCACCCCAGTTGGAATTACCACCATTATTCAGTGCTACTCTAGAGAAGCAGAACTGATGACTTATTTTCAAGAGATCATGTTCTAGAGTTTTTCAGAGAAACTGTGGGAGTGCAGTTGCTGAGCAATACCATGAAGAACATGTGGTTCTGCTAGCTACTCATGGCATACTTTCCTGCAAATCCAACATTTCTGATGGAGAAGGGAATGCTAATCATAACTGTCTCCTCCAGGTTCACCATTGTAGATTTCTTTTATAGGCAGTGGAAGGAACTGAGAGCACTTTACCCCATCTCAAACCCTTCTAGTTTCTTTTGGAGATGAGAATTAAAATCTACTACAGTAGGAAGAAGGGCAAACTTTCAGTCTAGGACATCTTCTACCTGCTTGCTTCTGCAGGGCTGGCTGTGGCCAAATGTTGCTGTCAGAGCCAAGATGCAGCATTCCATAGCAGGAGAGCAGGATGTCAGTATTTTTCTCTCTCTTTTTTTTTTTTTTATTTTTTTTTTTAATTTTTTTTTCCTCCTGAGCTGTGTGTATACTCCCTAGGTATTCATCTGTCAGAGTTATTCAAAATGGGTAAGGGAACATGGCAAAACCTGAACTAGCAGTATGTTTATGTGTTGTTTGGTTTTTAAAGAGGAAGAAATTCATATCAGGTAATCTTGTGGGTAGTTCACACGCTTGTCTTGGGGAGGCAGTCCTTGCTAGGAACTGAAGGCAGCAGGGCTGTCTTCTGCTCTGGTCTTCTTTCAGTTTGTGATGAGAAAGTTATTCCATTGCTGAACAAAGGCCTGCGTAAAGTAGTGACCTGCAGCAAGTAAATAACCTGATGCCTAAATAAATGAGTGTTCACCATGTAAAACCAAACCTCACCCACCTCCCATATCTTAGCTGCAAACATAGTGACCAGAGATAACCTCTTTTCTGCTGCCATCAGAAGAAGCCTTTATGTGTTTTGCTGTTCCTTTTATATTTCAGAACTTCATTCACAAGTGGGACCGTCGCTGCCAGCGAGAGTCTCTTTCAGATATTGAATACCAGAGGACAGTTGAACTCATGTTCAGGTGAGTTGGGCTGGACTTGATAATCAGTGTAATTTTTTTTTCTTTGTCTGTTTTAAAGAATGTGTGCTGGCTGCAAGATGTCTTCTGCTTCCTCCCTCTGAAGCAAACTGTTTCATCTGTTAGTTTGGAGAAATCCAGCAAGTGCTTGAGTTAGGCCTGCTTTAAGCTGATTTGCTAGCCTAACCTTTATATGCTTTGTGCTCATGGTAGGATGGGAGAAGAGGTGCTGGGGATGAGGGGAACAACTGCAGAGGGAGGAAAAAACAAAGGAAAGAAGAGGGAAGTGATGCATGTTCTTGGCTTATTATGAAGTTGTGGGTGGTGAGTTAATACTTGATGATCATGCATTAGTGGAACTTGTAGAGCATGTTAGATACTCAATAGTAGCATTGGGAGCATGTTCTCATTTGGGAGTTTTTTTCAGGAAAACAAATCTACTGACCTTCAGTTGTATTGTACTGTGTGCAGGAAATTGCTTCCCTGCTTCTTATGGGAAAACAGCTGCTGGTTTCCATGACACATCTGTAGAGGATGGATCACTTGCAACTAGATGCATCTTTAGGGAGCATCAGCTTATTGTAATTTTAATTCCTTGTTTCATTCCTGAAACGAGCACATGTTACATCTCAGTATAAGCATTATGAAAACCAGTGCTGGGAAGCTCTCTTTGCTGCCCCTAACAACTCATGCTTTTTCTTTGTAGAGATGTTTTGGAAGAACCTACAGAGGAGGAGTTGATGGAAAAACTGCACCAGCACCCACACCTGCACTTACGTAGGTGACTGGTGGGAAGGACTGATTTATTTAGACCTCTGTTTTCTTGAGGTTGTCAGCTGGAAGACACTGAATGGATTTTCTGTGAGATGCTCTTAGGAGAGGGGCTTGTAGGACACTATGTGAGATTTTGCTTGGGAATTCTCTGCAGAAAGGGTTTTTTATTTTGGGTTCATATCTTTTTTTAAAAAAAGATTTGAATCCTGCTAACTTGATTTTAAGTTGCAATTTTAGAAGGAGTATTGCAGCTGTTATTTTTATAGGGTGTTGATATCAGAAGGTTTTATTTACTTTTTTTAATAGGGAATGTCTCTTTAAAATGACAGTGCACTTTAAAACATGGATTTTATAACCACTAAGCCTGCTTCTTTTTTCAGCACAAGAAAACGAAGCTGCCTTTTTTGGCAGGCAAGTGTGGCAAGGGCTGCACCCTGCAATTCAGGAATGGATTAGGCAGGACCAGAACAAAATCCTTAATCTTCTTCTAGTGAGAGCTGAAACACTATTTTTATTGTAATGTGACACCAGCATATCTTACCAAATTTTCAGGAGTTAATCACATCAGAGCACAATCAATTCCAGCTTAGTAACAGGGACTGCCTGCTTTGCACATCCTCTGTTTTTCTTTGCTTTCCTTAGGGGGTTCATGCTGGTTGTGCCATTGAGGTCACTGAGAGCAGTTAGAACTTGAACTGGAGCAATTGCACTTGTGGTTTTCAATGTGGTAAAAGTAAGCTCTCTTTCAGAGTCAATATTCTCATGTTGCTCTTCACTGAACCTCTTCCTTTTACTTTCTTCCAAGTCTTGTTTTACAGTGTGTTATATTTCATGAAAAAGCTAAGGGGAATCAGCTTTGGCTGGAATGTTGTACCATCATCACTGGAGTCGCCCACTCAAAGGGGGAAGGGGAAAAAAAAAGGTTGAATGAGATAATCAAAGTGCTTAACAGTTGAAGTTTTAATTTGAGCCTGTGGGAATTGAAGGTGCTCAACCAGTATTGCAGGATCACATTCTTTTATGGCTTAATAACCTCATGCTGTGTACCACTAAGTTTCACCAGGGTAAAACTTTTTGGGTAAATAAGTTTCTCAGCAAATCCAAAGTGGAGGATTCACAGTAACCTGTGTCCACATGCTTTTTGTTATCCCTTAGTGTTCCTCTAAAAAGGGGATTTTTGTTTGAATCTCTTGCCATATAACTAGTAAACTGCTATGAAGAATTCAATCTACAACAAATACTGTTTTTATATGTGAAAATGAAACTGCCCTTTGGGCACTACCTTCTCGTTGAGACACTTGTCACCAAAATAGACATTATTGTGGTCATCTCTGTATTGACAAAGGCTTGGGGGAGGTAACTAGCTACTATTTATAAGTGCCTTGATTATTTTTTTAGTTAAGAAATGTTTTCTCAGAAGTGTCAAGCAGTCATCCTCTGTACCTTTCCTCATCTTTTCTCATCATTTGCCATTTCTCTCTGTCCTGCATGAAAGAGAGCAAAATGTCCAGTATGATGGTGATGATGTTTTTTTTTGAGATCAAAACCATATTTTTGCCTTGTTGTCTCACTGATCAGAAATTACTTAATGATCCCTGTCTGTTTCTTTACCTTTCTGCTTGTATTTTCTTTGTGCTGTGGAGCAAAATACGTTGTAGCTTTCATATGTGTAGGACAAATGTGAGCTGAGTTCTGAGCTACTCCTGCAGTTTTTCTTTGCTGCTGTAATCGTGCCTCTTAAGCCATGCCCTTGTCTGTGTGCAATCTCTTGCCTCTGTCCCAGATTAAGGCACCCAGTAACTCACTTGCACTGGTTTCAGTGGCATCATTATGGTTATTTTCAGTCATGCACCTAAAACACTCACCATGGCAAGCTGATAAAGGCATCAGCACACACTTTTCCTCGTTTTGAGTTTGTTCTGTTCAGTATGGCTCCATGTCAGGATGGTTTCTGTTCCTTTTAGTGTGATGTATAATCACTGCCACCAATGTATTGGGACTTGTTACACAGTGGTTAAATACTCTTATTTTACCTTTTTACTGAAAAAAAAAAATTGTTTTCCACTTTTCTGAATACTTGAAGTAGATTTGCCTTGCCAAAAAGGAAGTGTCTGCTTCTTATCGGCCTACAAGTATGATTATTTTTTCTGGCCTCTTCAGGGTTTTGTGGGTTTTGTGGTTGATTTTTTAAATTTTTTTTTTTTGGCCATTGCATTACAACATTACACTACAATCTACCAAAGCAACACAAATTGGTGTGGGAGTACCATAAACATCACAACTGTCTCCATTATGCCATCTTTACATCTGGACAAATATGGAGAAGGTGTTTTAAAGGGAATAGTCTGTCTTGTTCTTGTTTCACACTTGTGTAATTGACTGAGAGTGTAACTAGAATTTCATACAAAATTGTACTACCTAATGTCACTTGAACTGGAAGATGTAAATGACCACAAATCTTATGCAATAATTGTATAAATCATGGAAATGAATGTACGTCATGAGGTAAAATTTGAGGTTTGCATTATTAAAATATGTTTTTTCTTCTTGAACCATGAAAATAATTGGGGTGTTGAAATGATTCCTGTGGTTTGTTTTTTCCTTTCCCTTGCTACTGCTTTCTGCAGTGCCACACATTTCTGTTCCCATTGTTTTTGCCAGTAAAAGGCTGGGCCCATGGAGGTTACGTGCAAGTGCTTGGTTTCAAAATGCTTGGTTTCAAAATGCAGACCTAAAGGATGCTGCTCTGTTATTTTCCAATTCCGGAGGCACATATCATCCTCTCTAGGTACTTGGTACACCCAGTTTTAAGGTGAAACCTCATTGGAACTGAGCATGGATGGTTTTGAGCAGGTTGACCTTCATTTGCATTTCCATCTCTACAAACCAGGTATTTCTTCAACTCTCTTTTCCCCAAGAGACCGGTGGAAAAACATTCTCACAGCATTTCCGCTGGGGCACATTGTGCACGTAATTTAGCAGAGTCTGTGGTATTCTTTGGTAGCTTGTTTGGTTTAGAAGATGGTGGGGTTTTATTAAGGACAGAACAAAATCAGTTCCGTAACAGATGCGTCTGGCAATGGTTGTTGCAGATGCTTAGGTGGAGCAGGTGAAAGCCAAAGCAAAGAGAAGATCACCTTGTGTTATTAAATCAGGACCTGATTTTTCTAGCTTCTGAAGGAAGATCTTAATCACTTAATTAAGGCTAATTTAAGATTCCTTATGTATTTTTTTTCCTTCCTGATTTGCTATGAATTTCTATTGCTTAAAGATTTAGGAGTGGAGGGAGAGGAAGGGTTCAGCTAAAGTGTTTTTGATTCTTTTGGTAAAAATACAGAAATAGAGTGATGAACCTCACAGACACACTCAGGTATGAACTTGACACATTTTGGGGAATATTGGTTTGCATCCTTCCAACATTTCTTAAAGTGCAGAAAAAAAATTAAAAAGGACATACAAAGCTAGAATAAAAAAGAGGGCCTATAGGAAAATGGTGCAGGGTATAGATTAGTTACCTTCACCTCATGTATCAGAGCTATCTCTTACCTTGCTAGATGGTTTATCTTTTCACTTGCCTGTATAACAGGAGTAATACAGGGTGTTACCCCAGCTTTAACATCGTGCTTTCATCAGATCCAGTCAGTCCAGTGCTCTGCCTTAGGGTTTTATTGAAAACAAAATAAAAATAGCTGTTTGCCTATGTTGTCCGTGTAGGTTTTAATGACTTTTCTCTTCCACTAGATTTTTGTCTAATTAAAAGTGTATATAACTCTTGGGAGCTTTCCAGAAATCAGCTGGTTTTGATTTAATCTGAAGTTGTTATAAATACACAGAACCATTTGTTTTCTGAATTCCAGGTAGGAATAATTTGGAGTTCAAGGGTTGAGGGGTAAAATTGGCTTTGTAGTCCATCTCTAAGCAATGCACTCTATTTGACCCTGTTTCAAAATGACCTTGATAAACTGGGGGAAATCACCAAAATTAGTGAAATAAAATTTGAGATAAATATGCTGTGTTACAATTTACCAGTACATGGCAGGGAAAAAGTAGTATTAGGAGACAAATATTATGGGGCTGATAGTGTAATGCAAATTGAATGAACAACCAGTATCTGAAAGACATCAAAAGATAATTTGCTGTAACTTGTAATAGTACTTCCCTTTGTATCTCTCTCTGTCCATTTTGGGCCCTGCATTTTAAAATAAATTGTTGGGGAAAGGTGTTTATTACAGGACAATAACAGAGGTCTTAAGACATATGAAAGGTGTGAGTTTAGGAGAACTTTAGAGTAAACAATTTGTTCAGATCAACAAGAGACAGACAAATACTTTTTAAAACAATACTCAAATATGCAAATGGCTGAGAGGAGTGAAGAGTTGATGCTTTGTAATTGCTGTGTGCTGGTTGTAGGAGAAGCTGTAGTTTGGATTTGAGGCTGCTCCCTAGCTCTGAGCACTCTGTCTGGGAGGGAGCAGAGTCCTCTTTGCTCGAGAGCTGTTTCAGGAGGGATTTGACAGGCGCCTGCTACAGCTTTGTCTGGATGTTTGTGAACCTGCCCTTGCGTGGTGGTGGCTCAGCTGCTCTGAGATCCTGTCCCGCCCACCTCTCTGTGCTTTCACCAAGAAGAATTCCCCTGGCTGTAAGAAACCTAGCTTTTGTTTGGTCTAATGGCTTACAAATATTTACAGTGTGCAAGTGTTGTACAAGTAGGCGTAGCAAAAACAAAATTATGCTCCTTCAACTTCCCATTATACACAGAAAGATGAGCTTGAGTTGTGTGTGCTGCATTGCTGATACTTGGCCTTGCACTGGCTCCCCGTAGTTCTCCATGCAATTCACTCTGCTGGGTTTCCTTTCATCTCATTTCTAAATCCTTTAGCTTTTTGGGCAAGAAGAAGGCATGTGTTGCCCTTCTCCCAGTTTGTGTTGGCTCACTGACAAGCCAGATGGGTCGGATAACTTGATTTTTCCCTTGATGAGGACACGTAGTTTGGGCGCTCTGCTCTGCCTGCTACCAGATGTCACAAAATACATGACGTTCATACCTCTCACACTTCAGCTCTTCTTTCAGACTTTGGTTGGTAAATTAATTCAGGGAACTGATGCAGCATAAATCCTAGGAAAAGCTAGAAAACCTTAGGAAAAGCAAAGATGTAGTAATTAACCTTAATATTACAGAATCTTACCTTACCAAAGGTAATGATGATTAAAAATTAATTTTGTTAATTGAAATAGGTCTGATGTTTCCCTGGATGCAAGGCAGAGTAGAATCTGAAGCCTTTCTTTATTTCCTTTCTGCACCCTCCAGACATACACTCTCTTTTTAAAAAAATTAAATAGATCATGAAGCATCTAAGTAATGAAGTTAAGGTCACAGGAAATCTGTTGCAAATTCAGGAATAAACACCAGATCATCAGACTTCTTTAAAATTTAAGTTCATATTTCATTGTGAACTCAAAACCTCTTCTATATTTGTAGAGCTACAATTTTCCCAGCATAAAGTGAAAGAAGATGGTCAGAAAAAAAAACCCCAAAACCTCAAGGCTGAGCTGGCATTTTTCAAATACTAAGTGCTTGGGGATATGTCCAGCAAACCACTGGAAAAACCACCTATCAGTGTGTCCCACAGAGAATATGAGGGCTTCAACACTATAAAATGGAGTCACAAGGCATAATAAATGCTTTTCAAAAGTGTCTTAGTTAACTAAAATTGTTGCAATCCTCAAGGAAAAACTGTGGTATGCATTTACCTCCATCATCTATGAACTTGTTTGCCAAAGGAAGCAAAAGGATGTTTTTGTCATGAACAATGTATGTTTACCCACTGTAAGAGAAATCCTAGATGTTGCCTTTGATATGGCATTCCAGCCACTGAAGTAGTTTATTGATATTATTTTCTTGTCTAGTCCTATGCTTAAATTTATCCACAGTAATTGTATAAAAGAATGGTTCACTGATGCTGAATTTCTTAACTGTAAGCTAGAGGCAATTGTAGCTTGTCCTTTAATACTAGAAATTCCTTGTAACAGTCTGTCATCTTTTTCCCATTAACCAGTGGAGCAGTTGTTATCTTTGTTCTGTGCAGAGACTTTCATGGACCCCATCACTGCATTGAGTACCTCCCAAGCACTCTTCTGAAAACATCCTGCTGGGATAGGAAAATATTGCTATCCTTATTTTGTAGATGATCAGCTGAGATATTTGGTGATCTGCCCACAGCCAAGCTCTTGAAATCCCTGGGAGAGTTAAGAATAAAACCTGCAGTCCCTGCTCACTGCCTTTGCTAGCACACAATGCTGCCTTCTTTTTTTTTTTCTTTTTCTTTTTTTTTTTTTTTACCAGATGTGAGCTTCAAATGTTTAGGAGACGATGTTGACTTTTCTACATCAATGGGTTTACAATTTTGTTGCTGCTTATTCTTGTATATAACTTTTTTACTTTGTTTAAAAGTTAAAAAAAGTCCTGGAACCTCTAAACTTCTAAATCTACTTATTTCCTATCTTATCCAAAGAGGGGGGAGGACTATTGCTGGTTTGCCATCTTATTTATAAATATGTAGTAGGGATGAGCTGAGGCTAGCACATGTGCAGGAAGTTTGGTAAGTGTAAGGAAACTGATAGATTCTAGTTATTAAGTCACTACTTCAGCTGTACAAACGAGAGGAAAAATAGAGGATGACCACCCTAAGCAACAGCTCCAGCCTTCTGTCAGACCTGAAACATACTTCAAAAATGCTTTTAGCCTCATCTTCCTTTGTACTTCTTGTATTTTGTTCTTGGAGGTGACTAAACAGTCTTTTTCAGAGCTGGTGAGCGCTTGTAACATAATACTGAATTTGGAAAACGGCCTAGGAGGCCAATTGCCCTGCAGAGTCTCACTGGCAAAGGATCATCAGCATTTAAGAGGGTGGAGATTCATGTCAAAAGAGAAAATTGAGTGCATTTTAAGACCAAGTTCTGCTATCTATCAGGTGTGTGTGTCTGTGTAAGGTGAAATACAACCTCTAGTACAACCACAGGTTGCTGGGCTGGATGCAGAAATTACAATTTGATTTTAAGGACTGTGTTACACAGCCTGTCACATTAGGTAAGACCTGAAGGGATTTTGATTTTTATGCTTAAAATTAGGGTTATAGTGTAGGTTTCTGGCTAAAAGCAGACTGGATTTGTTAGCTCCCAGAAAAGAACTGCTGTTTTGTGTCTGCTGCAAAACTAACACTGTCGCATTGAGCTGGGTGGTGGTGGTGGTGTAACCATGGCCTTGTACAAGGAGCATCCTTCTAGAGTGAGCTGGGAAGCCAGTCTGGCCCCTACTGCCTTATGTTAAGTCTCCTTGCCTTTAGGAGTGAATTGGTTCCTCACATGATATGCTGAGCTGCTGACAGTGCTCTTTTTTTCTTTTTTTTTTTTAATAAGTACTGCTCTTAGAAAGTAAAACTTGAGTCTTCCCATACCTGTTCAATACCAGTGAGAGTAATCTTGTATTTCACCAAAACTACAAATGTTCAGTTCCCGGCGTCCTGGATAATGGGTGGTTTCTCTGAAAAGACTTGGATAATTGCAATAGGAAAATGCCTCCAA